TTGTTCCCTGGCCTCCGCACTGTGGGAGAATGCGTGTCACGAGGCCCACCCCGTGCCAAGGCCTAGGGGGCTGAGCACTGCGACTGGCCGCGTCCCCTGCTGGCTGTCGGGGGAAGGGCGGTGGAGGACCTGAGGGGAGGAGAAGGCAGCTGCACTCGCACACTCTCCCTACGCCCTGCTGTCCAGGGGTCTTTGCTCCGGAAGCCTCGGCCCCTGCCCACTAAAGGGTAGCACAGGGGGCTCCGCACAGGTCCTGCCTTCTACCGTCTCCAGGGGAGAGGAAAGCGTGACTGGACAATCCAGGCCCCTCACTCTCTGGCCAGGAACCCCCACGGGCCCTCGAGCGCCCGTGGCAGGGACTTACCCAAGCCTACCAGGAGAAAGGCGCCTAGTAAGAGGGAGGTGCCCTCACAAAGCACCACTGCCAAAGTGGCTTCAAGCAACTTTGTCTCTCATCCCTGGAGGCCAGAATCTGGAAGCTTCAGTGTCTGCAGAGCTGGTTTCTTCTAAGGGCCAGGAGGGAAGGGTCTGCTCTGGGGTCCTCTCCTCGGCAGGTGGTATAGACAGCTGTCTTCCTTCTATGTCTGTGTCCCTGGGCATGTTGGATTAGGGGCCACCCAGCTCCATAGGAGCTCACTGAACGCCTTCCATCTGCAGCAACTTGACTCTGTTTCCACATAGGGCCGCACTCTGCGGTTCTGGGGCTCAGCGCTGCAGCGTGTCTTTGGGGGGCCTACATCAGCCCCTGACGCCCAGCACTCCCTTTCCCCCGACTGCCTTCCCGCTTGCGGGGTGTCTTGTCTGTTAATTGACCACCTGCTTCTACAGGGGCAGGTTTTTGTCTCATCTGCTACTGTTTTCCAAGCACCATTCAAGTCCTAGTGCGTACTTGGCACCCACTACCTATTTGTCAAATGAATGTGTGATCAGAAAAGAGAAAACCCCACAGTTCCTCCTCCCAGCCAGCATAGTACACCGAAAGCAAGGACCTGGTCTCCAGGGAGGTCCGAGATGGTGCCACCCTCCCTGGCCCAAAAGCTGCAGGGAAGGGGCCTCTCTTCGTCTCCTCTGGCTTCACACCTGGGTCCCGTCTGTGCGGGGGCAGGAGTGCCAGTGATGGATGGTGGGTTACGGGAAGTTGGAAGACAGTGATTCCAGCTATGGCTGTCCTTCCGGATCAGCGCTTGATCACATAATACCCACCGATCCCAACACAGAGAGCACCAGGGACGCTGGCTTCTTTGGCGAGGTCAGTGGTAGCCCCACTGCCTTGCCTCAGGGCTGGATTACTTCTGCCACAGTTCAGCCCACAGAGATATCACACCATTCTTTTAT